AAGCAGGCCCAGGACGGCCCCCATGAGCCCCGCGAGACGCGGACCACAGAAGACGCACTATACCATGGTTTACTTGTTCTTTTTTCATCAGATTCATCATAACCGTCGTCGTCAATATCCACACCACCAGTGCCTATAGGGATACGGTCGACGAGTCGATGTTATACGCGCGTCCGTAGGTAATGGTGAGCGGGCACACGGTTAGCTATTTTTTTTTACAGGGCGCTGCGCAAAAAGCAGCGTGGTATTTGCACCAATACCTTAGCCGACACGTCAGTGGTGACGATATTATGGTGATATGAACGGACTTCACACACTTAACACACACACTCACTCACTCACTCACTCACTCACTCACTCTCTCTCTCTCTCACACACACACACACACACACCGTCCCGAGCCCCGCCCGCCCCACGATTGCCTCGGGCCCGCGGGAGACAAAGGCGGGGCTCGGGAACAGAGGTGTGGGGTCCACTCGAAGCACCGTCATATATCTACCGCACCTCCAAACGAAGTCGCATCTGCCAGGGGAGTAAGAAGAGGGCCACTCCCGCCACCCAGGGTACATAGGGGAGTCTGGCCCAAGGTGCGCCCCAAAAAAACGTTTCGGCACTCCTGGACGGCTCCCCGTCACCACAGGTGACGAGGCTGAGAGAAAAAGGGAAACCAAATCAAATGGAGAACATTACTGCATGCAACGATACAAGTGTTTCCACCGGCGCACAATGACGACCGCGCAAAAAAATGGCGCGCAAAATAATGGACCACAATTGCGACGACAACTCGATCAGAGTAAAAGAAATCTCAATCACGGGGCTCTCCAGGCCTAAGATGTAATCCGAGCTACCCAGGCCCGAATTCAGTCAGTGTTAAGATCTAAGTTGCGAGAACAACTGTTCGACTATGTAAAGTAGAATCGATGATGTGAGGCACATCAAAAAGGAAGATGCACGGTCAATGCGACAACGTAAAAGATGGCGGGTATTTCATCGTAAATGTCATGAGAACTATGCCTTGCATGTGTCGCACTCTACGCTACCGGCTTCTCATGAAAGAAAGATTGAACAGATTCGATAATATTGTTGGCGGGCGACCTGCCTGGGCGCGCTCATGCCCTGAAGGCCAAATATTGGTAAATGGTGCGAAGTCCATCAATATGTAAACGAAATGAAAGAAAGATGAAATGTTCAGAAAAACTTCGAAGATGCATGCTAACAAAATCAAAGAATACAGGTGAATATGTGTATCCAACAGGAGGCTTCAGAGAATCATACCATAAAAATGCACAGAAACAATCATAGTCTCGATGGCACTGTTATCGCCCAGCTCTCGTCGCTGAAAATAATAATACCGATTATCCCAGACGCGATTGCCACGCTCGTCAAACCATCCAGTCGAACGCGCACTATTGTGATCCAGCCATATGTTTCACAATACTTTTCATCCATACAGATCCACTTGTTCAGGTAACAGGACCAGTAGAGGAACGCGTCGCGCTGGCAGCGTTCGACGCAGTGGCGCCACGACGTTTGCACGCGGCGCTGGCGCGCGGCACTGCAGCTGCGCCCCCGGCGCGCTGCCTCCTGCGAGCTCCGCCTCGGAGGCGCAGTCGGTCTCCGCGCGCCCGGCGCGGAGCCGCCGTCTCCAGCCAGCTGGCGCCGCGGGCAGGGCCGCCAGGTGACGCCGCGCTCGCGGGGGGGCGCTGCGGCGCGGAGGCGGAGGCGCAGGGGCGAGGTGAACGGGGTCGGCGACAGAGGCGAGACCAGTGCCCCCCGCTGCCTTTCGCAACACCGTTTGGGACCTGCCCGCGGAGCTTGGACAGCGCAACGCGGCCCATCGTGCCATGTCCTCTCCCAGAGAGAGCGGAAAAGGTGATGACCCCACGCGCGAAACGCCCCCCTTGCCCGAGTGCCCCAGGGGCCTGTCTCTGACGGCCTGCGAATCCCTGTTCCACGCTTTCACGATAATATTACACGGCGAGGTGTATGTCATCGATCGCGAACGGTTTCTTACGGTGGGCAACACTTCCGCCAGTCATCTGAATGTAGAAGAGCGGGCATTCTTGGAACCTCTGCACCACATCAACGCACGGATGATATAGAACCGCGTTATCAGCTTCATCTGCGCCCACCAGTCTGCAGGTCAAGGCAGAAGGTGAGCCGGCATCAAGCCACCTGGCGTGACGCCCCTCTGCTTGTGCAGACTGCCTGCAGGGGAAGTCCTTCACTTCGGCTCCATGGGAGCGCGTGCCTGGGAAACGAATGTCAACGTCCGCACGCATGATCTGGTTGACAATCTGGACGTTCAGATTGCTCCGAATCCACCGATGAACGCCAGCGAGGAACTCAATCTGAGCCGCCCCCGCGCCCCCGAATTTTTGTGACGCCCAGCACATTTTGTTGGTGTCGCCATCGAAGTCATCGGGGGGATCACGGCAGCAACTCTCGCAATGGCGCCTTTCAGTCTGGATATCCCCAGCCCCTTCCTCAATGAGCTTTCTGATACGGATGCGGGCGTCTCCACCGGCACTCAAAGATCGACCAAGATCACGGAGAGCACGATCCGGGATCAAATGAGGGCCATCGGTGGCAAGATCAGCGGCCAGCGATTACAATCCCTTTTCAGTCATCGGATCGGAGAGGTCACCCGCCGAAATGGTGTGGAGAGCGTGGCGAGCTGAGGCCGCGCCATGATGCTCAGCCAAGATCTGATCTGCCTTGGCGAGGAGCTCAGCCTCCTTCACAGCCTTCTCGGTGCGTCGGGGACGTCGGCGTCTTCGACGCGTTCTCGGGAAGTCCGCTCGCTGGTTGCCCCCGAGGACGACGCCACCCTCCGATACACCCGCGAGTCGGAGCGGCTGAGCTTCCACGACTACGTGCAGGTGCACATGAGCAGTGTGACGCGATGGAGCCGCTTCTACAAGGCAGCGGGTCCTCAGCGCTGGCAGGCGGTGCTCATAGCCATGCGGATGCACCCCGAGAAGAACGACGCCAACTGGGCCTACGCGAAGCCCGACCGCACCCTCGGCGTCGGCGACATCAAGGATCGAGCGAAGCTTTCGAGTCGGCGCCAGCAAGGGTGGGACATCGGGGCTTTCCCCGCGCTGACAGGGGCCGAGAAGACCAAGGTCTTCGAGAAGACCAAGGAGAAGCAGCTCGAATCAGAGCTCTACATGACAAACCTGCGCGGGTGGATCTCTCATTTGTCCTGGTTGCGCTCTGGTGTGGTCGGCATCTGGGGAGCCTGGACGCGGGGATCGACCGTCGGACTTCTCTTCCTCGGTTGGCGGGCGGCGGTGTATGTCAAGGCGTGGCACTGGGTCCGATGGACCGTCGAGAAGCTCATGGACGGTCACAACCTGCTCCTGGAGGTCGACGACCTGCGAGCCTACTTGTCCGACCTCTACGAGGATGGCAAGCTGGAGCTCCCCATCATGATTCTCACGGTGCTCATCGCGCTGGGCCCGAACCTACAACGGCGCTGCCTGCGGCGGCCGAAGGCCATCCTGGCCGGAGCGAGCCCGCCTGCGAGCGACGTCGACAGCGACGGGGAGGCAGGATGTTCAGCGGCCCCCTCGGACGACTCGCAGCCCTCGTAAGACGTGCAGGAGATGAGAGCAATGATGATGAGCCTCCTGGGCGAGTCCACGCGCGCGATGGCGTAGGAGCCCCCTCGTGCGCGATCGTGTCACAGCCAGTCGTCGGCCGCCTCCCCGGGGGACAGCAGCCGCGCCAGCTGGGAGGGGGCCAGCGCCCCGAGCGAGCCCACCATGGACATGTGACATGCACGTGGATCGGATGATCAACCATCTGAAGAAGTTCGAGGACACGATCGCCGCGGATCGAGCCTCTGCGAGACGCCGCCTTCTCAAGGATGCGTCATCAACTGCCGCAACAGCGGGATCCTCGACTTGCCCCACCATCGATCTGGGGATTTCAAGGAGCCCCGAAGGGGCTGGGGTCAGCCTCGAGCCCGAGGGAGGCGCTGTGGGACCCGCGGGAGCGGCTCCTCGAGAACCTCTTGAAGATCGACGCGCCGCCGACCTTCACCCTCCCCGCGGGCCTGACTTCGAGGGTGGCCCCCGAGCTCGTCCAGACCTATGGGGAGCACGGCAGCATGGTGAAGTTCGCGACGGAGTGGGTTCGCATGAAGGAGCTGAATCGCAAACATATTAGGCGCGAGATGATGCTGCACTGCACGACCCTGGATCGGATGCTGAAGGCCTCTCCCGAGCACATCCAGACGGCCAGCTGCGAGATCCTCCGCGCCAGGGTCCACGCGCTCAAGAGGGCCTTCCAGGACGCGACAAGCATCGACGATTGGAAGCAGCCGAGGGGCGCGGCCGCCAACCAGTTGAAGTCCAAGATGCGCTGGGATCTCGCGAACGAGCTGGACTGGAGGTCGCGCGCCGAAGGCGAGGGGGCGCTTCGCGGCGTGGATCGCGATCTGACCGGAAGGCTGCAGCAGAAGGCCCTCTTCCAGAAGCGCCTGCAGAAGGGGGGCTCCGACGCGACCAAAGAGGAGGACGGGTAGACGGGGGGGCGGCTCCGCTCCTCGCTGGCGCCCAGCAGGCTCCCCCACCCCGTCAGGAAGGGCCGGCGGCTCGCCGCTCCGTTCGCTTCGACGAAGGCCACCCAGGTGGGCTTACTTTCCTGACACCGTGCGCGGTGATCTTGCTGGTCGCGACGCCATTTTCGCATGGCCCTGCCGCCCCCGGGAAGCGACGCCACGCCACCATTTCTCCATCCACGCACTTCTCCGTCGTCTACCTCGAATGCGGCCTCCGCGCCGCCTCCAGAAGCCGTGCCACGCGATCGAGATCCTCTGCCGGGCGCGCCGCTGATGCCGCGGGCGGTCGCGGTGCACCGAGCGGGGCCGATGCGCCATGGCACCCTTCGACTGGCGCGAGCCCTTGCCGACGGGCTGATCGGATCCACGCATCACCTCTCGCGAGGCGGGGTCGGAGCTGACGATGGGCGCGGGCCGTCGGCCTCGTGAGAGCGGGTTGCGCCGCTCCAGAGGGCCACGTCGCCGCGGCTCTCGGAGGCGCGGCTGGCCTGGGGCAGCCAAGCGCCGCCATCCAGCGCGCCCTGGCCGGTCGGGCCTCGCCGCGCTCTGGCGACGGGGCGTCTTCAGCCCTGGGAGGGGATTCGAAGGGCAGGGACGCGTTGCCCAAAGGCGCGACGCGCGCGGTCGACGCGGAAGATCTGGCGCTGCCCCCGCCCGGGACGACCCCTGCCAAACTGGGGGGCATCTGCCCGCTGGCGGCCGAGCACTTTGCCGACGTCTCGGGAGGGGCGCCGCGGGCGCCGAGCGAGGCCGTGGACGCGGACCTCCTCAGCCAGAGGTCTGCCACGACCCGCCCCTCCGCTCGCGAGCCGCGCGGCTTCGCCTGGTCGAGAGGCTCCGGGATGCGGGGATGCTCGGGGCCACCGATCGGTTCGTCGAGAGCGCCTCCCTCTTCGGGGTCGCGAAGAAGTACTTCCCGCAGGAAGCCGACCCCCAGGGCCCCCCACAGCGGCAGATCCGCGCCATCTGGGACGAGAGACGCGCCAACCTCCGCTGGCAGAGGCTGCCCTACGCGCCGCTCGGCAGCCCCGCGTCCTTCATCCATCTGGACCTTTCCAATCTGGGCCCCACCGACGTGGTCTATACGGGCGCGGGCGATATCCCAGACATGTTCTACCGTTTGGAGACGCCGCCAGGTCCGGCCCTATTTCGTCCAGGAGGGGATCGGGGTCGACGAGTTCGTGGACTTCACGGCAGCCAAGGGGCGGGAGTGCGCAGCGCCCATGACTGCGAGGCACCTGGCGATCAAGGCCCTGGCAATGAGCTGGTCGCGGGCCCCCTTCCTAGCCCACTCTTCGTTGCAGGCCTGCATGGCGCGCGGGCTCGGGGGGGATTATGTTGGGGCCCGCCTGGCCCACGGGGCCCCGACGCCCCAGCTCGTCGGCCCCGATGGGTGCAAGGCCTTGAACTGGGCGCACATAGAGGACTACGGAATGATGGCCACATCCGCGAGCGCCCAGCGGCCGGTCTCCGAGGTCGTCGGGGAGCTGACGGGCCGCGTCACGCACTACCTCGCCATGGTCGGGTCGCTGGGGGGCGGCCTACGCTGTCTTGGCAGTGGTCGGGCGCGCGCGCCGCCCGGCGCTGGTGGCGCCGCGACTGACAGAGCGCCCATACTGGACCGCGGACCTGCTCGAGCGAATCGCGGGGCCCCGGGCCTGGGCAGCCATCTTTCAGCGTTCGGGCCTGGCCATCTGCGACCAGGTCTATCACGAGACGAGGCGGCGCGACACCGCCAACCGCCCTCCAGGCAATCGGACGCAGCGCGACGGGAGCTCACCACGATCATCTACTGCGACCCGCCCTTGCGCACGGACCTCGAGGCGCAGCGGCCCCCGCACGCGTTCGTGACGGACTCCAGCGACACGGGCCACGGAGCGCAAGTCACCGTCGCATCGCTCGACGAGATCCGCAAGGGTGCGAAGTGCACCGAGATGAGGAGCTGGACGATCGCCACCGAGGACACCTACACGAAGCAAGGGAACACCTGGGCCCCACATGCGGGAGGCTGCGCCTTCGACTTGGACGACCTTGCCGAGGCGTTTGCGAAGATCCTGCCGCGCCCGACGCAGCGGGTCTACCGGGCGCTGCACCTCTTCGCGGAAGGCGCCGCGAGGGGGACCTAGAGGAGATGATTCACGCGCGAGCGGAGCGCGAGGGCCTCGAGGTCGAGCCCCCGTCCATCGACGCCGCCATCGATCCGAAGCACGACCTCGCCAGCGAGACGTTCGTCGGCGCGTTCCTAAAGCTAGCTCGAGCCGGCCACTTCCACGCAGTGGTAGCCCCACCTCCTTGCTCCACGCGGAGCCGCGCATGCTTCCTCGGCCAAGGGCCGAGGCCTTTCTGCGGACGCGGCAGGGGCCGCGTGACCGGAGCGACATCCAGCCCACGACCTTCGAGCGCCGACGCCTGGATCTGGGGGCGCTCCTCCTGCGGACCGCCATGAGGGTGGTTCGCGCCGTCTGCCTGGCAGGGGGCCTCGGCATCATGGAGCACCCCGCGGACCCCGAGGAGGAGCCCTTCCCGTCCATCTGGGACCTCGACGAGATGGCGGAGCTCATCCAAGCGACGGGCGGCCGGGCCAACCGCATCGACCAGTGCCGCTACGGGGCGCCGTCGATGAAGCCAACCATGATCGGGATCTTCGGGAACTGCAACAGCAGGGCGGGATCGGCGGTGGCCCAGCTCCGACTGCGGCGCAACCATCATAGGCGGCACCTAGAGGTTCTCAAAGGACGAGCCAAGCGAGGGCGACCCGACTTCCGGACCTCCTCGGCCCAGGCCCATCAGCCGTCCTCGTGTGCCGCGCTGGCAGCCGTGGCGCTCGAGGCCTTCGCCTGCGTGCCCCAGGAGGGGAGCGGCCCCGATCCGACGGGAGCACTTATTTCCCCCCAGGCGGCGACCTTCTGGCATCCGACCCCAGGTCGGGCGAGGGACGAGGCGAGGCGGGGCGACCGCATCAAGGCCCCGCCTCTAGCTTCTGCGTGGATGCCGCTGCCGAGGCGGCGCCCGCTCTACTTCGGCAAGTGGAGGGTCACGGGGCACACGAACATCAACGAGACCCGAGCTATGGTGGGACTTCTGCGGCACCTGGCACGATCGTCACGGACGTGGAGGCGCAAGGTCCTGATCCTGACCGACAGCATGGTGGCGCTGGGGGCCCTGGGTAAGGATCGATCCAGCTCCCTTGCCCCGCTGCGCTTGTGCCGCCAGGCCGCGGCCATCACCATGGCCTTCGGGATCTACGGGTACTGAACGTGGCCGACGGCCTCTCCAGACGGGGTTCCCTCGGGCGGCGCCCGAAACGGTGGCAGCACACAGCGATCGGGCTGCCGCCTCCACGGGAGATGCCGCCCCCGATCTGCGCGACTTGGGGCGATCCTGTTCGGGCTACGCCGGTGGCTAGCGGCAGCGACGCTGCGCGGTGAGTGCCCCGTGAGCGCGGCCAGGGCGCGTCCGCCGAGAGCGGGCGAGGTCCCCCTCCAGAAGCGGGGGCCGCTGGCGTGGGAGAATTACGAGCGGGAGCCGCACCGGGGCATCAGCGAAGGGGGCTTCACTAGGCTCCTGGCGCACTCGGTGGCGGACGCTGCAGCGGTGCAGTGGGTGCCCGAGGTCCGCGACTTCCTCACCTACTGCGTCGCCCAGGGCTGGGGGCTGAGGTCCGCGAATGCAATGGACCACACCCTGGCCGACTACATGGACATGAAGGGCTACAGGGGCCGACTCCGACCCACCCGGGAATCCGTCGTCCTCTTCGGGTTGCTGGTGATCTGGCCCGACCTGCGGAACCGGCTCTCCTCGGCCCTGAGGAGCTTGAAAAACTGGCAGAGGCTGGTCATACCTGTCGAGGGCGGCCCGCTTCCCGAGGAGGCCGTCTTCGCCATCGCCATCTGCTTCTTCGAGGCGGGGCTTCTCGGTCTCGATGAGGCGATCTGGACGCTTGTGCAGTACGACGTCTACGGCCGAGAGCCGGACATGGAGCTGCCGCGCGCGGCCGACATCACTCTGGGACGGCCGGTGCGTGGGCCTCCCCTCTGGCGTTTCCGCGCGCGGCCAGGAGGGCAAGACGGGCAGCAATCAGGGGGTGATCGTGCGCCGCGGTGCGGTGGCGAACCTCCTCCTCGCGGAGAGGGAGGCGAAGAGGAGCGCGGAGGAGCCCATCTTCAGCATGCGCCAGGAGGGCTTCCGCAAGGAGTGGCACCGAGCATGCCGTGCGCTAGGCATGCCATGGGCGCCGCCGACGCACGCGCTCCGACACTCGGGGCCCAGCGAGGATGTAGCTCGAGGTCGAGCCACCCTCGAGCTGCGGAGACGGGGCCGGTGGAAGGCTTTATCCAGCGTCCAGAGATATTCGAGGACGTTCGCCTTGACGCAGTTCAAAGCACAAATGCCTCAAAAGGTGAGAGACATTGGCCAGCGCGCACGCAGGGACCTGGCCGCAGAGATCACCCGAGCCCTGGCGACGCGGAACAACTACAGCAAGTCCGACCAGAAGCTCATTTCCGCCATTACCACCAACCTGAAGACAGAGAAGGCGAAGGACCTGGCTGCGGAGATCCTGATGCTCGGACCAGGCAAGCAGTCCACAAAAAGAAAGCAGGAGCACAGCAAGAGCGACCTCAGAGGCTCCGATTCCGACGACCTCCACGCAGACGAGACTTGGGGAGAAGCCACCTGATGGTGGACAGAGTGACCTGCGGCGGGATCCGACAGCCAGGAGGGGCGGCGTGACGGCCAGGGGGGGGCAGGGGAGCAGCTCGCCGAGCACCCTAAGGCCCCCCCCCCCCGAGGCAGGCACAGCCTCACGACCGCCCCATGTGGAGGAGAGGCGACAAGGTGCAGATCGGTGAGGCACAAGTGTCCCAACCCACCCGACCCGTTGACACGACGGCTGCGCCAGGCATCAATGCGGGAATGGGATGAGAGTACACTGCGACCTATTGCAACTCGAGTTTTTACTTTGTGAGATGGTCGACGTATTATGTCTCAATCGGCTTCCCGATGAATTATGATATACCTGGCCCGTCAGGGCCCGCTCGGAGCGTGTGGTTGAGAAGACTTCGTCTGCACTTCTCTCCCATAGACGCTTCGCGGCGTTGCTGCACGCCCGGCTGCTGAATGTATCTCTTCAGCTTCGCTGGCCCCTTGCCTGACCCCCGAGACTCTACGATAATGTTTCTGGTTCACGACGCAGGCATGTCTCACGAGGATGGGCGCTCCTCCCGGCGGGCTGGAAGCACCCGCCAGCTCTGTGGGCCAGTTGTGGGCCGGGCGCCCTGTTTCTAAGCTATGATTTCAGATGAAGGAGTTCTTACCTGGTCATCGGAGGTGAGGGGGTGAGATCGAAGTGGAACGGAGAGCCCCCCTACCGGGAAATGGATTTCGGTTTCGTGTTCGTGCGTGCCGTGCGTGCGGGCGAGGCGAAGCTGCGTGGGCGGGCGAGAAGAAAGTCTCCTGTGGCTGAGGCGCGGCCGGACCAAATGTCTCCCTTCTGGGCGGCCGGTGGCCCGCGGTGTCCCGCCGGTGTCCCGCTGGTGTCCCGTGTGGCTGAGGCGCGGCCGGACCAAATGTCTCCCTTCCGGGCGGCCGGTGGCCCGCGGTGTCCCGCCGGTGTCCCGCGAAAGTCCCGCGGTGTCCCGCGGTGCCCCGCGGTGTCCCGCTGGTGTCCCGCGGTGTCCCGCGATGATGATGATGATGATGATGATGATGATGATGATGATGATGATGATGATGATGATGAGATGATGATGATGATGATGATGATGATGATGATGATGATGATGATGATGATGATGATGATGATGATGATGATGATGATGATGATGATGATGATGATGATGATGATGATGATGATGATGATGATGATGATGATGATGATCGATGATGATGATGATGATGATGATGACGATGATGATGATGATGCCCGATGATGCTGATCCCGATGATGATGATGATAATGATCATGATGATTATGTTGATGATCATGATGATGACGATGATGGTGTCCCGATGGTGATGAGTATGATGATGTTGATGTTGATGATGCTGATTATGATTGTGTCCCGATGATGATGATGTTGATGATGATTGGGTTGATGATGATTATGGCGTCCCGATGATGATGATTATTCTGATGGTGATTGTGATGATGTTGATGATGATGGCGTCCCGATGGTGATGATGATGATGATGATGATGATGATGTTGATGCTGATGTTGATAATGATGATGATGGTGCCCCGATGATGACGACGACGATGATGATGATGATGCTAACGATGGTGATCATGATGGTGTCCCGATGATGATTCTGCTGATGATGATGATGATGACGATGACTGTGTCCCGATGCTGCTGATGATGATGATGTTGATGATGATGATTGTGATGATGGTGATGATGATGATGATGATGGTGTCCCGATGATGTTGATGACCGTGATGATGATGATGTTGGTGTTGATGATGAGGACGGTGTCCCGATTATGATGATGTTGGTGATGATGATGTTGATGTTGATGTTGTTGTTGATGATGATGACGTTGATTGTGAGAGCGGTTGTGATATCGATAGTGAAATCGATAGTGAGACCGAATGTGATATCGATTGTGAGATCGATTGTGAGATCGATCGAAAATCAATTGTGAGATAGATCGAGTGAGATCGATTGTGAGATCGATCGAGGGAGATCGATCGAGCGAGACCGATACTGAGATCGATAGTGAGATCGATAGTGAGACCGATCGAGTGAGACGTTGGTTCCTCCCCCCCCCGAACCTCCTTATCACCCGAAGGGTGGTCGTATAGGTATGTAAGATTTCTGAGCGCGAGGGTCGCCTCTTCGGGGGCGACGCACACACAGCAGAAGCATGTCTGAGCGACGCCCATCCCGAGCCGCCAGATGTCTGCCCAGACATGCGATATCCTGGCTCCCCGAAGTCACGTCCCTTTCCCCAGGACAAGCGTTTCATCCTGAAAATCGATGTTGACGGTCCTGGGGCTCTGTCAGGGCCCGTGGAGGTCGTGGTTGTTTCGCGACGCGAGCAGGTCCGTTGCAGAGCACCCGAGCAGCCCCCTCGCCCCCGCCCCTTGGCGCGCGGACCCCCCTGCGGGCGCCTGGCGGCGCGCCCCTCTGCCCGCGGCCCGACGCGGGCGTGCGCCCGCCGGGGGTGGCACCGCCAGGCGTCGCGCCGCCGGGCGTGGCGCCCGGCGTGGCGCCCGGCGTCATGCCGGAGCGCGCCTGCGCGGGGGGGCGTCGGACCCAGAGATCCTGGCGCTGCAATTTTTGTCACCAAGAGCGTGTTCGCCCGGATTCGGGCCCCGGGCCGCCACAGATCGCTCCAGCTCAAAAAATGATGCAGACATATGGGGCTCCGGACGTGATTTTTGGCGATGTTGTAAGTATGTTCGCTGCGTCGGATCTCAAGGGAAAGCAAGCCCCGCTGGGGGACCCCCGGCACGGCCAGGCGCGTGCGTCGGAGGTCGAGAGGTGCTCCTGACCCGACGTGCCCCCAGTTCTTTGGAGCCCGAGCCCTTTTGGGGCCTCATGGGGCCTCTGAGGGCCTCGTGCGGGATCCTGTAGACTTCGGCTTACCCAGACCAGCTCGGGCCACCGACCTCTCCCCCCCTTCCCCTCACTCCTCCTCCTCCTCCTCCTCCTCCTCCTCCTCCTCCTCCTCCTCCTCCTCCTCCTCCTCCTCCTCCTCCTCCTCCTCCTCCTCCCCTCCTCCTCCTCCTCCTCCTCCTCCTCCTCCTCCTCCTCCTCCTCCTCTTCTTCTTTTTCTTATTCTTCTTCTTCTTCTTCTTCTTCTTCTTCTTCTTCTTCTTATTCTTCTTATTATTCGTATTATTATTCTTCTTATTCTTATTATTATTATTATTCTTCTTCTTCTTCTTATTATTATTCTTCTTCTTATTCTTCTTCTTATTATTATTATTCTTATTATTCTTCTTATTCTTATTATTCTTATTATTCTTCTTCTTCTTATTATTCTTCTTATTCTTCTTAGTATTCTTCTTCTTGTTATTATTATTATTATTATTATTATTATTATTCTTCTGCTTATTCTTCTTCTTCTTAGTCTTCGTATTATTATTATTCTTCTTCGTCTTCTTCTTCTTCTTCTGCTTCTTCTTCTTCTTCTTAGTATTCTGCTTCTTCTGATTATTCTTCTTCTTCTTCTTATTCTTATGCTTCTTCTTCTTCTTATTCTTCTTCTTCCTCCTCCTCCTCCTCCTCCTCCTCCTCCTCCTCCTCCTCCTCCTCCTCCTCCTCCTCCTCCTCATCATCATCATCATCATCATCATCATCATCATCATCATCATCCTCCTGCTCATCATCCGACCTCTCCCCCGCCGCCTCCCCTTTCCTTGCAGCCTCCGTCGTGGCGACCCCACACACACCCTCGAAATGCTCCACCACGCGCCAGCCGCAGCCGCATCCTCACGCGAGCTGGGCCTCCGAACCACCCTGGGCCGCATCCGACCATCTCCCCCGTTCTCCTCCAATACACCTGGGCGGCTCTGGCCAAAGGCCCCGCGAGCGCACGGGATGAGAGGGCCAGAAGTGGCCAGTGTCGGAGGTAGCTGGTGGCCAGTGGGCAGTGGAGAGAAGGTGGGTCAGTCGACAACGCTCGATGACGGTCCCCTGCGGTGGCCTGCGTGCGGTTGTGGCAAAAGGCGAGGGGACGAGAGCCTCCGCAACTGCTCCCAAAGGCGGCCGAGGGGGGGCAGCTGCCCACAGCGAACGCGACGATCCTCGGCGCATGGCGATCGATCGAGCATCGAGCAAGTGCAGTAGGAGCAGGTGCAGCAGCAGGAGCGATACAGCGAGAATACCGACGACGAAGAACGACGCTACGACGACGACTGTTACTGTTACTGTTACACGGCTTTCAAACAGCACTGGTGCCGAAACGACCTAGCCGGGTTGATCTAAGCTCGAGACTGCTGTGTTGAGAATGAAAAGGACAAACATGCTAGACGCCCGCCCGCCCTCTGAGTGAAGCTTATCAGCCATGCCTGCCGCGTGTCCTCCCATACCTCCTGGTCCTTTGCCACATCCCACCACTTATGCCCATAATGGTCCGCAATCATCTTCTCCCAGCGCCAGACATGGAATTTACGACCATGGAGTTCCTGCCCATACATCTTCCGGATTGCCTGGATGTACGACGCGTCTCGGTACCTCAGACATCGCAGCGCGTACCTGTCCGGCGCCCACACCGAAAAGCGGGCAACGTGTCCGGCCCAAGCGTGGATCTTTCTGAATTGCAATACATCCCAGCGTTCGAGGCCGTACTTCGAGCGCGCCACGTTTGCGAAGAAGTGCGCGTCTCTGCAGTAATCCTCCGCGCACGCCCACATCCGAAATGGTTTCCCCCATATTTTCCTGAACATTCTATCTTCAATAGCTCGGATGCGCTGTAAGTGCCTCTTCGTTGGGTGCAAGCAGCCCACGTCGTACAGCAGCGCTGGAAGCACCAGGCGGCTCAGGGCTGCCAGTCTCTCCCGCAGGCTCCCCGCTTGTGAGCACAACAACGCGCGATGCTTTCCGAAAACGCTCCATGCTTTATTGATCCGAAAATCTATTTCCAATGTGCAATCCCCAATGAGCGTGACCATCGAACCCAAAATCTTGAAGCCCTGGTCCCGGGTCAGTTGCCGAATCTCAATAAGCTGCTTGTCTCTGTGGTTCCCCGTCAACAAAGAAGGCCACAAACTTGGTAGCGTCACTGCCGGCGAAATGGCATCCGCAGTGGTCGCCCAGGAGCACGCGCTCAAGTCGCAGCTGAACCCCGCCTTCATCAGCAACGCATTCCACTCCGTGACCATTGTTTTCAATTGCCGGGCACTGGGAGACAATAGCCAAAAGTTGTCTGCAAAAATCGATAAGCATAGACGGTCCAGTGTGTGCCTCATCTTCTTCTCGGCCGGCTGACTCTCTTCCTTCAAACGCAACAAGTCACCGTGCTCTATCTCGTAACCCCAGTCCAGACGGCGCGCCTTTGCGAGGAAGGGCCGAACAACCTGGTAATCCAAGACGAAATTGAAGCAAGTGGGACCCTCCGGATCCCCCTGGAAAATGCTCTTGGTTCTGCTGACGTCCCTCGAGAATGGCACGCCTGGGAGTTTCACTCTGCCGGCCGCTCTGAGGTTCTCCCGTATGTACGCCGCCGTGATAATCTTCGGCACGCCCGCCTTCCCGAAGCCAGCTGCCCACTCCCTGTGCGAGACGTTGTCGTATGTCTTGTAGACGTCCCCGTCGTAAAGGAAAAAGGGGGTTCTGCCACTCCAGCGCTTTCTCGACCAGCTGTCGGATTGCAAACTTGGGTTCCAGAGATTGGTAAGAACTTCGAAACGCAAACTGGTTCGGCGTGATGTCTACGTCGCGGAGCTGGCACAAGTCTCCGAGGAGCATGCTGTATAGCTTGTAAAGCACAGACAATACCGCTATGGGCCTCCATTGTTGAATCGTGGTAGGTCTCAACATCTTTTCCACCAGAATGATTTCGTGCCTCCGATGATCTACGACGACGACAACGACGACGACAACGACGACAACGACGACGAATACGACGAATACGACGAATACGACGACGACGACGACGACGACGACGACGACGACGACGACGACGACGGCGGCGGCGGCGGCGGCGGCGGTGGCGGCGGCGGCGGCGGCGACTGCGGCGGCGGCGACGGCAGGGGCGACGGCAACGGCGACGGCGACGACGGCAACGACAGGGCCCGAGGGCGGGATTCGGCCGCGCACCCAGCACACAGCCAGATCAGAGTGAGAGGGTCGAACGGTCACTCACTGTCCCTGGGCGCGTAGCTGAAGTAGGGTTCCGAGATGCAGATTGATGCTGCGCTGCTGCGTTGTTGAATTCTCACCTTTAGGAAGTTATCCCACCAGCCCTTTAGGGCGTGAGTTGTAAGGGCGTTTCCTCATCTCATTCCCCTTCGGGGAGGGGTTCATCCCTTCCCTTATCAAGAAACACCCCCTCCACCAGGCGACCCGCAGCCAACCAGGACCGAACCAGACCCGCCCCAACCATCCCTGACCAAAGACAGTGTGCAGTCCACTTTGGGGCAAAATCTTGGGCCATGATCGGGGAACCGCGCGTACTCTGTATTGTTTGTTGACAGGGACGGCGGGGGTGCCCGCATATTGCCTGCTGCGCGCAGGGCCAGCACACCTGCCTAAAAAAACGTACAACCTGCACTTCGAAGCAAAATCTGGATCGCGCGCGATCACTGTGCGTTGGTTTTTGACTGGGACGGCGGGGGTGCTGGCATGTTGCCTGCTGTGTGCAGGCCCACCAGACACTATGATGGCCACCCATCCGCAATTGCGCACTGGCTTTCGACAAGGGAGGTGGGGGCCGACACGTTTCCCGATGTGTACTGCCACGTGCAGAGGCGCACCTGGTACACTCTGCACGTGCTCCGAACGTGGCGCACATGGCGCGGCTGGAGCATGCGGCACACATGGCGCACCAGGCATGCCTGGCACGCTTGGGCCACAGGGGTGCCTGGCGCACCTGGCGCGTGTGGCGCACCTCGCCCCAGCGTTGCGCACATGTGGTCTGGTTTGGTTCCCAATAGCTGCCCATCCAAAAACGACAGCTGAACATGCTCCGGCTCGGGTGCTACGTGTGTGTTGGGAGGGCGGGTGGGAGTGAGCGAGCCGGCTTGCGGGCGGGGAGGGCCTTGACAGCTTTCCCATACCCCTCCCCGTGAACCTGGACGGGGGGGAACGCAGGTGGGTCCGAGCGTCCAAGATGGCCTCGGCGAGAAGACCAACATCACTCATGTTCCTAAGGTGTTGGACCAACTTTGGCCTCCTGGGGGGGACGCTCATTGGCACACCACCGTTCTTTGATCGATCACCTCCACGATGGCCCCAAGATTTCCCCCAAGGCTCCCAAGAGTGCCTCAAAAGGGCCCCAAGAGGTGCCCAGGAGACCCCAAGAGGCCCCCAAGATGACCCCAAAATGCCCCCGGGAGGCTCCCGAGACCCCCAAGAGGTCCAAGGTGGCTCCCCCGAGGCACCCAAGACATGTCAAGAGGCACTTGGGACCGCCAACAAGCCCCCAGGACGCCCCAACAGTCCTACAAGAAGCTCTGGACAGACATCCGAAGACACTCCAAAAAGTATCCAAGAGGTCTCTGGCCTTTCTGTTCGTCCTCCTCCTCCTCTTCCTCTTCCTCATCCTCCTAATCCTCCTTCTCCCTCCTCCCTTCTCCATCCTGCCTCCTCCTACTCCTCCCCATCATCATCTTCATCATCTGGTTCAGAGGGGTACGACGGCTTCCCATGCGTGAACCCCCACACTGATCAGGGCAACTCGCCTGGGCAGTGTTTCTGCATGGGCTGGTGAGGCTGCGCGAAGCGTCTGGAATTATGGTTGATCCCCCTTCCGGTGCCAAGTGTGCTTTTCCCCAACCATCCTGTGGAGTTGGGTCCTCGTCTTGAAGAGACAGTTCCCGCGCCTTCTCCTCTGCTCTCACCCTGCCCCTCCTCCCTCCCTCCTCCCATCCATGCCTCTGCCCTCCGCATGTCAACCACTTCGGCACACCCCTCACAAGTTACTTGTCCCCATCGGGGAGCTCCACAGAAGGCCCCAGTGGCATGGTCTACATGCGTCTCCCGCACCCGGTACAACGCTTCGTGGCCCCATGGGGAGCTCCACCGAACGCCCTACTGGGAGGGTCCACATCCGTCTCCCCGCCCCATTTCGGCACACCCCTCAAACGTTTCGTGTCCCTACAGGGAGGGAGCTCCACAGAAGGCTACAGTGGCAGGGTTCACATGCGTCTGCCCGCACCATTTTGACACACACACACACACACCCCTCACACGTTCCGTGCCCCCCTGGAGAGCTCCACCGAAGGCCCCAGTGGGATGGTCTACATGCGTCTCCCAGCCCCATTTCGGCACACCCCTCACACGTTTCGTCCCATAGAGAACTCCACCGAAGGCCTTACTGGGAGGGAGAGTGCACATGCGTTTCCCCGCACCCTGTCGGCACATCCCTCACACGCTTCGTGGCCCCATAAGGAGCTCCACCGAAGTCCCCTGAGGGAAGATCCACTTGCGTCTCCCCGCCCCATTTCGGCACATGCCTTAGAAGGTTCGCCCAGGGGCAGGGTCCGCGTGCGCTTCTCCGTCCAATGTCGGCACACCCCTCACACGCTGCTTGGCCCGATAAGGATCTCCACTGGGTCCACATGCGTCTCCCCACCCGATTTCGGCACACCCCTCACACGTTTCGTAACCCCCTGGGGAGCTCCGCCGAAGGCCCAAATTGCAGGTTAAACATGCGTCTCCCCGTCCCATGTCGGCACACTTATCACATGTTTCGTGCCCCCGTCGGGAGCTCCACCAGAGGTCCCATTGGGAGCCAATTTCAGCACACACACACACACATGCACACACACACACACACACACATACACATGCACACACACACACACACACACTTTTAAAGTCAGCGGCGCAGAGGGTCCTCAGGCGCGGGAAGCCGGTGGAAGTGCTAATTGCGATCGATGGCAGTCGAAAGCGCAGTGAAAGAAACGTTAATCACTTACGTGCAACGATGATTGGTGGGTGGAAAGGACTGTAACTCAGCGAGCGTGCAGCGGCCAGAGCACCGAGAAGCACGTCCGAGCGAGCTCGACTCAAGATGAGCTGAAGCGCGAGCAGTCTTGTGCTAATTGCAACAGACCCATACACGCCCACTCTTTGAGCCAGCGGCGCTGAGGGTACTCAGGCGCCTGGCGCACACACACACACACACACACACACACACACACGCAACAAAGACACAAACACAGACACACCACCACCCCACCACCACCACCACACGTTTCGTGGTCTCATTGGGAGCTCCACCGAAGGCCTCAGTGGGAGGGTCCACACGCGTCTCCCTGCCTCATCTCAGCACACCCCTCACGCGTTTCGTCTCCTCATAACGAGCTCCACCGAAGGCCACAGCGGCAGGGTCCACATGCGTTTCCCCGCCACATTTCGGCACACCCCTCGCACGGTCAGTGCCCTCATGGGGAGCTCCACCGAAGGCCTCAGTGGGAGGGTCCACGTGCGTCTCCCCCACCCAGCACTGTGCAACGCTTCGTGGCCCCATACGGAGCTCCACTTAAACCCCCAGTGGCCGCGGCCGCATGCGTCTCCCTCATCCAATATAAGGCTTCGTAGCCCCATAGGGAGCTTCACCGAAAGCCCAAGAGGCAGGGTCCACATGCGTTTCCTCTACTCAGTACAGCGCGTCGCGGCCCGATACGGAGATCCACTGAAGGCTCCAGTGGCCGTGGCCGCGTGCACCGACGGCTTCATTGGCGACGTTCGCGTGCGGAACCCAGGGCAATTTCGGCGAACCCCAAACAAGCTTCGCGGCCCCATCGGGAGCTTCATTTAAGGCCCCAATGGCACAATTCGCATACGCTCCACACCACCACCATTACGGCACACCCGTCACACGCTTCGCAGCCCATGAGGGAGCTCCACTGGAAGCGGTAACCACAACGCGGGCATCACAACTGCACATGGCTGGGACTTTCGCAAGGATAATTCCAGTGAAGTGCCCTTCACAGGGCTCGCACCCTGATTTTCTCAACCATCCTGTGGTGGTGGACCCTAGAACTAAAGACACAGCGCCCCGCATTCCTCCCTCCCTCCCTCCCATGGCCAGTGGTCTGGCCAGCTGGGGGTTGCAGTGGGGACAGGATGAGGAGGGGAGGTCGGTGGTCCAGCCTACGGCCAGTCGACTGGCATCGAAGATCCACGTCTGCCCGCACAGTCGAGGGTAGGGGCGACAAAGAAGGGCGCTTGCCAAACGAACGGCGTCTTGTGGGAGCCACTGGTCGATCCATTGGCCGCCGGTACGCTGCAAAGCAGCAGGCGGGGCACCAACGCAAAGCAATCCGTGCTGGAGGCGGAGAGCTAAGACGACGTTAGAGCTCTGAAATGATGAGGCACACGGGCGTGCACGCTGCAAGCAAGTGCTCGCGGCAGGCCTGCTCGGCGTAGATGTTCGGCGTGACTATGCCCTGCTTCGGCGTCGGCATCGCTCCACTGAAGTCAGTCTCGTTCATCGACGGGTTCTGCTCGCCGTAAAGCGGGGTCTGCATGGCATTTCTGGCGATCGCATCCTGTGCCCATTGCTCTTAGGTGGCAGCAGCAGAAACACGACTGTGCGTGAAAGCAACACTGCTTCGGGATGCCACGCCGATGCCGATGCCGTATGCCCAACGAAAGAGAAAGGAATATAGTCCCTGGCCCGTGGATTACATAACCAGCTCTGCCAGACGCATGGGCCCATGCTCCCCTTCTCGTCTCTTCTCCAACATGCCGACCCATTTGTATGCATCAATATGGCTGCGCACATACCCAACTAACAATCTACATACTTAACTATCACCCCGTGTTCGGTACCTCAACACGTCGAACTGCGTACCCAACCACCCGCTCACTCACCCTGCTCACCCAAATACCGACCTAGCTATTGCTGACGGGGAAGCGTCCCGGTTCTCTGCGGCACTTTCGTAACTCGAAGGCACACGCCCTCAGGCCGTTCTGGTGGGATCTTTCTCAGGCCAAATCAGACCCCCAGAGGCCCCCGAGAGACCCCCAAGAGGCCCCGAGACACCACCAGAACTGCCTCCAAGAGGCTTTCGAGAGGCCTCCCAAGAGATCCCCACAAGCACCCAAGAGGCCACTGACCTACAAACAAAGGACGGCCAAGGGATGGGCCGAGGAACACTACATATACTATCTTGTTTCGTTGTTCTTGATCAACAGCTTGCCAAAACTCCTGAGTGCCATTTGGCGCTTCTGCGTTTCTCGCGTAGGCCTCCCGAAAACCAAACCAAGCCAGACAGGCCTCATCATGCTCCAAAAGCCTACAAAGAAACGCTCAAAAAGCCTTAGAAAACCTTGGCGGCCCCAAGGAACTGTCCTGGGGCGTTCCTGAAGGCCTCTTGGCCATCTAAAACACCATCGTGACCAGCCTAAGGGGCCAAAGCCATTGAACAACCGCGTGTTTTATGATTTTCGCATAGTGTGTTTGTCGCTGGTCAGAGCGTCCAAAATGCACGGCACTCAACCAAGAGAGCCCGAATGCGGCTCCTGAGGGCATCCAAAGGAGCTTAACGGTGGCCCCCAAGAAGCCCCCAGCAGTGGTCAAAGAGAGAGAACTCGAAGGGGCCGTTAGAGCCCCATACACCACGATGGACTCCTACAGGAGTCCAAAAGACCCCCAGAGGCCCCCAAAAGCACCCCAAGAGGCCGCAAAGAGGCCCCTGAGATGTGAGTGATCAATTGTGTGTGCAGCATGCTTTGTAGCAAGCACGCATCTGCAATCGTTTGGGCTCAGGCGCTTTGACCAGTTTTAGCTACGGCTACGCAAGCATAGAGATATCGGCGATATCCCTCCGACAGCGGCAGTGGAGCGGTTCATTCCGCGGCTGCGCCGGCAGCGCCGGCAGCCTCCTGGCCTTGGGCGCAGCGCGGCCCCCTGCAGCGCAGGACCCTCCCATCACCCAGTTCCTCTACTACATGCTCGTCCTCCTCCTCGCCTGTGTTTTGTTCCTCGTGGCCGGAAGGCCGGCAGAGACGGATCCGAACTTTGAGCGCGAAGACAGCTACATTCCAGGCTGGGACGGCAACCCTGCGTCGTGGATGACCTGCAAAGTGGAGGTTCGCATCTGGACGCTCGGGCTGAATTTGGAGGTGCAGTACAGCATCGCAGCGAGAATGATCAGGAAACTCAAGGGAGCAACACGCAGAAAGGCCCTGACGCTCAAGAAGGAAGACCTGCAGCCGTATCGAGGTCAAGATGAAATACGAGCCGACACACCTGAAGGCAAGGGGAAGCAGAAAGGCGAGATTATCATGGAGAGCACCCCCCCACACCTGGAGCGGCATCCGTAACTTGTTGGAGGCGATCGAACCCCTGTGCCCGCCGAAGGTGTGCCGAAAGGGAGAGACCATGACGGATTTCTTCGAGACGCAGAAGTATGCACGCAAAGCGGGCACCAGGATCTCGGACTACAGCACTATATTCGACCAGGGAGTGACGAAGATTCCCGAGAATGGTGTCGAGCTTACCGATGGATATGATATCTTAGGTTGGCTTTCATGCGGCGGCTAAACCTTACTAAGGAGCAGAGAGAGCGGCTCATTGCAGCACAACCGTTGCGAGAAGTTCAGACTACGGCGATGCGGATCTTTCAAGATATTCATATCAATGAACGCGGACACATACAGCAGAGACGACCCTTCGAGTAGAAGAAGCATCAGCAGCATGGTGGCAAAGGACGGCCACCACCCAAAGCAGTCAACGTGACCGAGTACGAGGATGATGACGGCTTCGAGGATGACGATGCCGAGGAGCTGGTGCAGCGCGAGCTGGAGGCCTTGGCCACCGACCTCGGCGACATCAACGAGGAGGAGCTCGACCAGGACCAGGCCGAGGCGGTCGAGAAGGCGGCGGTCCAGCTCTCGGAGTTGCCCGAGGCGCTCGCCACAATGCGTCAGGCCCGCGACAGTCTCAGGAAGGGCGGCACCTCGGGCTCTGGCGGTGCTGCGGTTGCCCCGCCGCCCAGGCCGGGACGCGGCCGAGGCCGATCCGCCGCCGGCAGGAAGCCAGGACGTGGAGCCAAGTTCCAGCCGATGAAAAACACGCTCGACGGGCGCAAGAAGAACTCACAGTGCCGTGTGTGCGACGGTTGGGGCCACTGGGCTGGCGATCCAGAGTGCCCTGGTGCGCGAGAGGTCCAGGAGGTGACGGCTGGAGTGGATGACGACGACGAGGAGATTGATGTCCCAGCGGTCGAGGTGGCGTTCCCACTCGCCGTGCTCCAGAACACGGTGGTCACTGGCCCGTCTCCGATGCACAAGGAGGGCGCTGTCGATTCGGCATGCGCCAGGAGCGCGATGGGCACGCCGTAGTGGGACGACTACTGCGGACACTTGAAGCCGCTGGGCCTCGATAAGCTCGTGACCTTCGAGTCCGTGAACGAGACCTTCAAGTTCGGCGATGGCGGTACGAGGGATTATGTTACCCCGGTGAGGTTCCCTGTGGCGGCGGCGAAGGCACCGCACTTCATCAAGGCGTACCTGCTGGACCTGCCGGGGCTCTGCCTTCTCTTGGGACGTGATTACCTGGAGTCCGTGCATGCCGAGATCAAGACATCGCCGCCGAGACGAATCACCACTGGGCCTCATAGGGCCGAGTTGTCTCAGGATCGTTCTACTGGACATTACATGCTGGACTTGAACCCTGACGCCTACCACCTGCTGCGCAGCCACTCCATGGAAAAGAGCGTCACCGACGAACTACGTCGGAGGCTCCGACCGAGGACCACGGGTGGCAAGACGGCGTCGAGGATCATGGCACCCGTGTGCGGAGCTCAGGCGACTACCTCAACCTGCGGTCAGAGGCTCGGTTCGACCGTGAAGGCAGTGAAGGAGATCGCCAGCGTCGACGAGACCGAGAGCATGAAGAAGGTGACGATCCATGACAGGCCTCTTGGAGGCCACGATTGTTACGTCTGTGCTAGCCCAGCTACCTTGACTTGCTCATGTGGCACTGGCACGTGCGCGAGTTGTGAGCGGCAAGGGTTCTGTCCTAGCTGCAAATACGATGTGGGCATGGTTGGCTTCGCCGAGGGAGACTACCCGAATCTCGTTCAGAACGCCAGCGGGCGCTCAACGCCACTGGCAGACATGATCGAGCCTTTCGAATTCACCTACCTGAGTGTGGCCTGCGGAAGAGTAGAACGGTGGAGGGTATACTGGTGAAGATCATGAAAGAGAAGAAGCTTGACAGGATACCAGTGGTTTGGATCAGTATCCCGTGCACTCCGTGGTGCACGTACCAGCGGCTCTGGAACTCCAGAACGCTGGAACGACGAGTTCGCTTGAGAGTGGCCCGACAGGAGACTAAGAAGATCTTGCGCAACGTGCTTTGGCTTCTGAGGGAGCTACGACCTCATGCAGCTCCTACGGGTTTCGAGCTACCCTGCGTGAGCGACATATGGAATGACAGGTACGAGCCGAAGGAGCTCTTCCAGATCCAGGGCATTCTTGGACTACGAGCTGTGTTTGACGGTTGTCGGAACGGCATCAAGACCAGCAAGGGGGAGCCTATTCGGAAAAGGTTCAAGGTCCTGACTGACCATCAGCCCATTGTCGATAAGCTTTACAAGAAGTGCGACGGGAAGCATGTGCACGCTAAGGTGTTTGGCGGAAAAGCACTCAATCAGACTGGCCGCTACACCGTCACGCTCGTGAAGGACATTGCCTCGGGGCTGCGAGCAATTCGCCGCGGATACGACGCGACGCCCGTGGCCCACGACAGGGAAGCCCCTGCTCTCCCAAGGCAGTCCTCGACGCCGTGGACCCGGCAGAGCGGGTGCAGCTCGAGCGTGTGGTCAAGCTGGTGCAAACCAACACCAGCCATCCGACCACCGCCAGCCTCGCGAGGGCCATCCCGCTTGCACGGTGGCTCGGCTGAGGCGATCGCGGCAGCGGAGGTCCACCGCTGTCCCGACTGTGAAAGGCGGAAACATCCAGACATTTCCACGCCTGCGGACCTGAGGTCCAAGTTCCGCGAGTTTGTCGATGGAGTGGCTACCGACCTGATGACTCGGGCCGATGTCAAGGGCAACCAGGCTCAGCTGCAGAACAACGTCGACATGGCCACCATCTCCCAGCTGGTGGCCCCGCAGGCCGACAAGAAGCCTATCACACCGTGGACGACGATACTTACAAGGTGGGTGGGTTGGGCTGGCCGCCCAGACGAGCATCGCAGACCTCGGAGGCGAGTTCGAGAGGGAGGTCCGCAGCGAGCTCGAAGGCATGAGCACCGAGCTCATCGCCACCGCCGCCCCGAGCCCCACGCAGAACAGCATCTGCGAGCGGCACGACGGCGAATGGAAGTACATCGCGAAGGCCATCATCAACGAGTACCAGATCGACTTCACCGTCCCAGGTGCCGTGGAATGGCTCTGCACCGTGGTCAACTGGGCGAAGAACAGCAAGGTGGCGCCGTCTGAATACAGCCTGGCGCAATGGGTGCTTGGCCGCGGCTAACGCCTGCCCTACAGCATCCTCTCTAACCACGCGAGGCTCTCACTCTACCAGCGCG